TAGAAATCTCTCCATCTAGTTTTGAGAGAATTTAGAAAAAAAACACAAATATAATAATAAAATGTTTAAATAAAGTTACCTTGAGTTAAAAGTGAGTGAGAATTTCGTAACAAAAATATTTTTTTTCCTTTTTTAACCAACAGATTTTACGGTGTACAAAACTTATTGTGTGAATGTGTGTGTGTTTTACAACATGCAAAAAAAATGAAGAATTACTACAGCAATACTTTGACGAAAACTCCGAATAAATTTTTTTAAATAAATTTATATATTTTTTTTGTTTTCTTTTTTTTTAAGCTTTGTAGCTTTGAGTCTCTATTAATAAACAGTTGTGACAAAGATTGTAAATGACGGTTAAGTTTGGTCATATTATTTTAAAAATTAGGTATTTTCCCGCAGTATGTATTCAACTTTATTAAATAAAGTTGTTTTCGCGGATTGTTTTTTTAACTTATGATTTTAAATAGGTACGTACCTATTTACATTTTTATTTTTTAATAATGGCACGTGCCAGTTATGTAAGTCAAGATTATGTACATACGTTATATGAAATATAAAATTATGTAAACTGTTGTAATTATAATACCAAAATAAGTTTTATATAAAATGAAATTTGCTTTTTTTTAATTTCATTTTTTATATGAAAATTTTTGAAAAAAATTATTAAAATTGAATAAAAATTATAAAAAATATTTTTTGTAACATTATTTTTAAATTTAACCAAAAGTTCTAAATACCTACAAAAATGTTCGCGGCACACCTAGAATTCTTCGCGGCACACCAGTGTGCCACGGCACACCGGTTGCCCGACACTGGTCTAAACCATTGGTTTTCGACCGCTACGACCCGGGTTTGATTCCCGCATTGGGCACTTTTTTTATGTTTTAAAAAAAAAAATGCTCCAATGGCCCCCGATTCTTGCAAAAGTCCAACCTCACCAGCGAGTGCAAGTAACCAAACGCGGCTCTGGCACATTCGTAAGTGCAAAGTCGAACTTCTTTTCACATGTGTAGACATGTGGTGCACTTACAGTAAAAGCAGTCGCCTACTTCTACCCACCATGATTACCATGGCCTGTACCACGTGTACTAGGGATAAGCAAAAAAAAATTGTCAGGCCATACGGATGAAAGTGAGGAATGGAGGAAAGGCCCAAGGAGAAGGCCAAAAGCGGATCATGTTTCAGTCCTGCAACAGCAGGTCCTACTTGGAAATTTCTAGATGCAGCGAAGCATGGGAATTACGGTGTGTAGAGGCTTGCTTGGTTCAAAACTAACCCACCTGACCCAATATGGCCTTCACGTCTTGATAAAAAAAAGTGTTTATCATTTAGCCAGGGTTTGTTTCTGTCCTCATCTGTCTGCCACAGATAAGACTCAAATATTATAAACAGTAAAACACTCCTCCTCTTTAGTAAAACCCAATGGCACAGAACTTTATAGCCATGGTTTCGTCACTTTTCACAAAATTGATTATTTACATGCTTCAATGTTATAATTAAGTATGCTAAAATTTTCCGAAATATTGCTAAAATGTTTATAGGTGATTTTTTTTTTTTTTTTTGCGGCCAGTGTATATATATTTAAAATATTTTTTCAACCCCTCTTTTCTTTTTAAATATAATTAAAATTTATTTCTTCAGCCCTCTCTTATACTGTAATGAATAAAATTGAAAGAGGGAGGGTATGGCTCATCACTGGTGAACTCTCCCAGTGGTTTTGCCATTTTAATCTTCAGACCGCATCACTATTGTATTCAAAATCACTTTATTAGGTACCTCTCAACAAGAGCAACCTAGTTTATGATAATTGAAACAATGAATAATATGTGAAGGTTATTCACATATTAAACAAAATGTTAACGCAGGATTCGATCCCAGTTCATGGCTGTCAGGAATCGAGGGTGTTACCCACTCGTCCACTGACTTGTTTTATCACTATTGTATTGGACTGAATTTTTTATATACCCTGCATGTGAGTACAGTAAATTGGTGTTTTGAATTGGTGTTATGGACATATGTTTATTATGCATTGAACAATGCTCTTCCACAAAATCACAAATGTGGCCACACATAAAATTTTGTTTATAATTTGTAGCAATAGAGTGTGCTAAGTTGAAGACTAGCCTTGCCAGGAAACCTTGGGCTGAGTTATGTATTTTAATGAAGAAAGTGTGTAAATTGAGCATCTTATATGCATATAGCCTTGAAAGGATGTTGTTGTTGGCAACTTGTGTCATCAAATTAACATGATTCTCTCCTTTAGTTGATGTTACAAGAGTTTTGGGGTAATTCAGGCCACTGTAAGAATGTCTTCAGGCTTTGATGATATCCCTTCCCTCTTATGTGTCTCTTTTTTTGTATATTATATCCCTAGCACACATGGTACAGGCCATGATAATCATGGTGGGTAGTTAGCGACTGTTTTTAATGTAAGTGCACCACATGTCTACACACGTGAAAAGCAGCTTGACTTTTACACCTACAAATGTGTCATAGTCCCATTTGGTTACTTGCACCTGCTGGTGGGGTCAGACTTTTGCAAGAATCGGGGGCCATTGAAGCTTTTTTTTTTTTAAGGAAAAAGTGCCCAATGTGGGATTCAATCCTTCTTTCTTTCGTTCTTATCTCCACTTAACAATCATATCAGGGTATCAAGTTTGTAAAGTTTGAAACTTTTGATGGTGTCTGCCGGGGAAGAGTAGAGCTCATCAATGGATGAGTCAATACAGTCAATAATATGTCTTGGGATTGCAGGTTGACACTTAATACATAGTGGGAAAACCTTGCAACCATTCTGTCATTGTCTGTATATGACCAAACTTAAGTCTGGAAATCAAAGACTGTTGTTCTCTTGGGAGGAGAGAACCGGTGAGGATTCAATCCTGGGTTGTAGCAGTCGAAAACTAATGGTCTAGAGACCACCCTTCCACCGACCCCCCCTGTGTCTCCTAATTATCTGAAGCTTTGGAATGAGAGGGTGTGGGGTAAAACCTGTCTACACTGGGCTGGGCTCCATAGTAATTGTATTTACTGGTCATGGGGATGGATTTCTGTAAATGCTTCTCCTTGTTGGTTGTTTATCTATGGTTCTTTATTACAAAGTTTAGTATAGGATACAAAAAAAAAAAAAAATCGGTGGATTAGAGGGTAACACGTTCGATTCCCGGCAGTCATGAACCGGGATTGAATCCCTCATTAAAAATTGTTTAATATGTGAATAACCTTCACATATATTATTCACTGTTTCAATTATCATGAACTAGGTTGCTCTTGCTGAGCGGTACCTATTAATGTGATTTGAACCAGCGAGGATACTACAAAGTATAGAAGCTTGTTGCCGTAAACTTTGCTTCAAGATGATGTCTGTCTTCTCTTGTAAAGTTTATAGGATTGGAGCTGCTGTGAACCCATTATTGGCCGTTATACTTAAAGGAAAGTGATGATGAGACAATGACACATTCTATTGTGAGGTCATTGGGATGGTAGGATGACTAAGGCTGCCACCTCTTGTATCCATAGAGGCTCTGCCAGACTTCCTTTAAATGTCAACCTTCTCTATTAGCTGGGCCGGGAGCTTGATGGTTATGCCAAAATTAGACTCACTTAGCAGGCATTTAAGGATTTTTTTAAACGGACCTTAACCTTAAAAGGACTTTTGTCTGAAGATGGTAACAACGGTGTTACCGAAACGTCACACAGTATTTATTTATTTGGATTTGGTCATAATACTTTGTGTTTATAATCTATAATCCAAATTGTTCCTTATCGATTTTTTAAAAAATAATTGTCCAAAAAGTTCAGATATTATCTTAACCCTATGAACACTTGTGTGTTTTATCCCTAAAATGTGGGCAAATAGCAGTGAATCCAGATCTTGCAATAAAGTTTATTTAGAGATTATGCTTTAAAATACAAAGACCTTTTGGGCTGAAAAAAGGTTGAAATTGAAATTGGGTTTAATTAAACATTATTTAACAAATATTACTCTAAATTAAGTAGCAATATGGATGTTTCTTATTTGTATGCCTGCCTGCAAAGTATGATATTTTTCTAAACAATTCCCAACTGAAATACAAGCACTACAAAGGTAAAAGGTTTTTTTATTACCACCCTGTGTTCTGAGGTCAATGCACATTAAATCACATTCAATCATGTTTAGGGTCAATATCTGGTACATTAAACTTATTTAGCCTTTCTTCATCATCTCATGAATCTTTTGAGTGACTTCATAGGTAGAAATGACACAATATTTTTAATTAACACATCACTCTAAGGCCATTTTCTACCATTGTTTTTTGTAAATAAGGTAGCAATTTATTGCTCCTACTTTCTATAAGTGATTTGACCTTTTGTTTCAATCCTTGAGGATGTGACTGTTGGAGAATAAAGGTTCAACATAGAATGATAAAGCAAAATTTGAATTATAGATAAAAGAAAAGACCTAATCCAAATAATTTATTAGTGTGTGACGTTTCAGCAACAACATTGTCACCATCATCAGACAAAAGAATATTATTATTCTTAATATTAATATATATTATTCTTTTGTCTGATAATGGTGACAATGTTGTTGCCGAAATGTCACACACTAATAAATTATTTGGATTAGGTCTTTTCTTTTAGTTCAACATAGAAACAATTTGGAGGAACCAATTTTGTGAAACACATTTTTGTAGAGAATGGCATGTTACAATCCAATCTTTTGATCAATGATAAGAAATTCTGGGCATAGAAATCATTTCCCTGTTCAAAATGACACCCTTAGAACTTGTTTATTGTAACTTGGTGCTAGGATGAGGGAGAACTCTGTGATTTTGTGTGGATTTCTTGTTGAGCTTTGTAAAAATAGAGATAAATTATAAAATGGTTACTTTTTATTTATTTTTTTGCTTATCTCTAGTACATGTGATACTTTGGTTACTTGCATTCGCTGGTGGGGTTGGAATTTTGCAAGAATCAGGGGGCCATTGAAGGATTTTTTTTTTTTTCATTAGAAAAAAAGTGTCCAATGCGGGGATCGAACCCGGGTCATAGTGGTCAAAAGCCAATGGTTTAGACCACTCGTCCACCGAACCAATGGTTTACTTGATATCTATAAGTGTTTTTTCATTGGTGGAGTGGAAAATGATGGGGTGGCGAGCCTCTATCTTCTGTTACATAAATGAGAATTCAGAATTGTCTAAAATATCATTTTCATCAAAAGAATAAATTTCTGTGTCATCTGAATCAATTGACGATTCATCAGAAGTTTCTGATTCCAAAAATCATGCATAACATGTTAATACACTAGCGATCGGTAAAATGGCCTTCAAAAAAAAGCGTGAAATTATAAACACAAAACCGGTATTAAACAGGTAGCAAGCAGGAATATCCGCAAACCCTGAATGAGTTGTGTATCTAACAAGGCTTCCGTTCTAAAAAAATAGAACTGTAGTGGTTATTTCTGAGAATTTATAAGCCAATTTGTTTGTGGCTCTTGAGACGGGGCAATGGGGCTTACCCCACAGACCTGCTCTGTCCCGGGAGACTGGGCAATGGTGTTAGAAGGGTTAAAGAAGGCAATATATCCATCTTCTTGGATTAGGGACTAAGTCGGGGAGTTTCAATTAATGTCTGATATATAAGAGGTGTGAGTTTGGTTGTCTGAAATGTTGTGTGTGTGATCAGATTGGTCATTTGAGGAGCCAGTGCCCTGGGACATCTACGCCATCTACATGGTACAGTGCAGCTTCTACCTGCACTCTCTGTACGCCACCTTGGTGCTGGACACATGGCGCAAGGACTCCCCTGTCATGTTAGCGCACCATCTGGTCACACTGGCGCTTCTCCTGCTTTCCTACGGACTCAGGTGGGTTGTCAGGTCGTGGTGTCCCCTGGTATGTACAACATGGCAAAAAAAAAAAATGCTCCAATGGCCCCCGTTCTTGCAAAAGTCTAACCCCACCAGGAAGTGCAAGTTACCAAACGGGGCTCTGGCACATTTGTAAGTGCAAAGTCGAACTGCTTTTCACATGTGTAAACATGTGCGCTTACAGTAAAAAGCAGTCGCTAACTACCCACCATGATTATTATGGCCTGTACCACGTGTACTAGGGATAAGCAAAAAAAAACATGGGGGGTGTGGTGCAGGTACCACAAGACAGGCTCCCTCATCCTGCTGCTCCATGACATCTGTGATATCCTGCTGGAGGTGGCCAAGCTCAACGTCTACTTCAAGATCCAGGCTGGAGTGAAGAAACCCATGTTTGAGCAGCTGGCCAACTCTGCCTTCCTCCTCTTCTCTGTCACCTGGTGAGTCCTTGTCCTGTCTGCCCGACGTACTGACTCACTGTGTTCCCTAGGTACGTGACCCGGCTCTACTGGTACCCGCTCAAGGCCCTCTACACCAACGGTGCGGTGCTGTCCCAAACCGGCATCATCCTACCGTTTGGGATCCTCATGAACTCTCTCCTGTGGGTCTTGCAGCTGCTCCATGTGTACTGGTTTTCTGTAAGTGCTTACACTTGTGTGTGACTATTCCAGCCAAGTTCTGTCAGTGGCACACATTTATATAAGAGACATGGAAATATTGGAATTTGCTTGTCACCTATATATGACAGGATTCTCTCCTTGGTTGTGTGTTTATTTGACGCCAATGTGTGGTCCTCCAGATGATCCTGGATTTCCTGTGGAGGGTGTACAGCGGCCAGATTGAGGACCTGGGAGATACCAGAGAGTACGATGTGGCTGAGGCTCAGCACACAGTCAGCCCAGCAACTAATGGGTGGGTAGCTAACATTGACTCCAGAACATAACCTGTTGTTGTTGTTGTTTCTTATCCCCGTGTGTAAAGATTTCATGATCTCATGTAATGGGGTATAGGGGTGCAGCTTTCGTTAATCATGGCACCATGATCCAGGCACACTTTGGTGAAAGTCTGACTTTGCCTGTAGTAATTTGAGGCTGTTCCTAACATGGAAGTCTTTGCTGCTGTCCCTAACATGAGTAGAGACCTCAGTATCCCTGGAGTGGGACCATTGCTGAGGTCCATCAACTGGGTCAGTTGAACTCAGGATTTTTAGAGAGTGGGTACCTGAAGAGCTAATTGTATTCAACACACACCATGTTGTTTCTTATCCCCTTGTTCAAAGATTATACAAATTCCATGAGTTCATGCTCCTCAAGTTGTTTGATGATAAGCAGCAGCCTCTCCCAATGGTCCTGTTAAGTGCATCTAATGCAATGTGTTCTGGAGCTGCAGGTGCCAAGCTACATTTTGGGCAAGTGGGGTAGATTGTGTTGATATTATCAATCTACCAGTTGTTTTTTCTTATCCCCTTGTTCAAAGATTATACAAATTCCATGAATCCATGCTCCTTGAGCTGTTTGATGATAAGCAGCGGCTTCTCCCAAAGGTCCTGTTAAGTGCATCTAATGTAATGTGTTCTGGAGCTGCAGGTGCCAAGCTATATTTTGGGCAAGTGGGGTAGATTGTGTTGATATTATCAATCTACCAGTTGTTTTTTCTTATCCCCTTGTTCAAAGATTACACAAATTCCACGAGTCCATGCTCCTCAAGTTGTTTTATGATAAGCAACAGCCTCTCCCAAAGTTCCTGTTTAGTACATCTAATGTAATGTGTTCTGGAGCTGCAAGTGCCCAAGCTACATTTTGGGCAAGTGGGGTAGATTGTGTTGTTATTTTCTATCTTCAATGACTTGAGATGGCCCACACACCATATATGTACCAAACAAGGCACCTCTCCCTTTATTTGTGCCAAACCAGGGTATACAGGTTGGTGTCTGAATTTTCCAAAACTGGTGGCTCATTCTTTATCATCCTTATCATTAAATGGTGCCTCATTTACTACATAATTTTATATTGTTACAAAAAATTCTCCCCCCCAATTCTTGCAAAAGTCCAACCCTACCAAAGAGTGTAAGTAACTAAATGGGGGGCTCTGGCACATTTGTAAGTGCAAAAGTCGAACTGCTTTTCACATGTGTAGACATGTGGTGCACTTACAGTAAAAGCAGTCTCTCCACCATGATTATGATGAATTGTACCACGTATACTAGGGATAATAATAATATTGTCGCGGAGATAAAAAGAGCAAGGGCAAGTTTGGGGATAATTAATTTATTATAAGGGGTAATTATAGGGGAGAGAGAAAGTACAACTTACCCCCAGTTAAAACTAATCCTGAATGAACGGCGTTAGCCACCGTCCCGTTTTCCTTATTTACAGATCAGCTTCCCAGAAGCCCCCACACCTGTGGTCCCCCCCCTCCCGGGGTCCAGGGATGATTGACAGTTTTCCCATTTGGATGGAGCTACTTGACAATATATATGTGACAATATAATAATAAGGTGGGGAGAGAAATAAGGACACCACAAGTTGGTAGAGGAACCCAGGCAACCAGAGAGAGAGATGGGCCTGGCAACAGCCGGCGGCCGTTCGTGTCGCACACAATCCCCAACTGTCTTAAAAGTCCCAAGGTTCCTGGTAACAGGCCCCAGTGGTCGCCCTTTGGAATGTCGCTGAGGTCTAAAGTGATCGGTTCTTACCCGCCCGTCTCTCTCTGGGTTTACTGTAGGTTTGCTTTATTATTCCTGGAAGAGCATATATTATGACATATATATATATAAATACTTTATGGTGTTGGGTTGGTGTGGCAGAGACGTGGTGATCAATGGCAACAAGACTTCAGCCCCACTGACCAATGGCGTGACCCATCGGCATCACGCCCCCTCTTGCTAGGAGAGAGTTTCCCACCTCAGTTGTTTGTGTCTCCCCCCCTCCATTGTGTACATAGCTTCCTTGCTCAAACCTCCTCTGTTTATCTGTTTGTTTCTCCCCTTAGCCTGCGGGGCCAGCCCTTCATCCTTTGTGGAAGATAGACTTTTCTATAGAGAGATATTTTTATATTTATATATTGTGGATATCCTCTACTTACTCTTTCCTCCATCTTCTTTAAGACTATTCCCCCCCTTCCTTTTTTTCCCTCTCTTTCCTTTAGTAAATCAATATATTTTTTGTGTACAGCAATAATAAAAAATATATATCAAAATAATGACAAAACACCTTTTTTTTTTTTCTTCTTTTTTTGTTATATGGGTTCTGTATAATAAGTAAATTTTGCTTCTTTTATCATCATGATGGCCAAATAGATGAGAGGGGAACAAAGACAAAAAAAATTGGAACAGAGTTTGTGTGAATCCCCTCCACCTTCCTGATTACTGTGCCCAATACTGATCACACTTTGTCACTGAGGCCAGCTCTGATTATAGCATTTACTTCATTTCTTTTTTTGTAATTGACTTTTTGTTTTCATTATTAAGTACAGTAGAACTACCTCCCTGTAAAGGACAACACCTAATTGCAGAGCCAAAGTGTCCTTTAGAGAGAGGTGTCCTCTTACTGGAGAGTTGCAATTGCAGAGCCAAAATGTTCTTTAGGGAGAAGTGTCTTCTTACTGGAGAGCTACTAAATAGTAAAAATGGTAATTTTGACCAATGAAAACTGTCCTTTATAGAGAGGTGTCCTCTCATGGTGGTAGTTCTACTGTATTACTGAACAAATATTTCTTCTATCGGCCATATCTCTCCTCCAAGTGGATCTCTTCATTTTATGTGGACAAGACGTGTGTATATACGCCCCCCCTATTGTTTCATCTTTCTATTTTAAAATTACTCTTCGTGTAAAAAAGAAAGGTTGTGTATTTGTGACTTTTATTCCCTCCGGAATGTTGTTTGTGTTGTGCTTGTAATCCGGTGCCAACTGTGTTTTTGGTCTTTTCTCTTCCTACATATGGAGAATGTTCTTCCTTCAGTCTTGGCAATTGTTGTCTATATCACCCCCTTACCCATCTATTTATATTATATTTATTTATAACAATATATACAGTGAAACTAACCCCCTTGTTAAAATGAACTTGGGATATAGCAAACCTGAAATATAATAATTCACATTTTACAATACAGTGAACCATGGCTATAAGGTAACATGACTATAGTGAACTTTGTGTAAGAGAATCAGAGGCTGGATCTCAGAAATTATTGTTTTATTAACATTAGATTGAGATGACAAAGAACAA